CCCTCTACCCCTTGCTTGTTCCTCCAGACCAAACATTTTTCTAGGTAGGAGAACCTGCGTGAATCCACCAGTGGTCGCTTAATAGCTGCCAGAGGTGTAATTCAGGCTTGAACTAATGACCCCATCCCTTCCTCTTGTCTGCTGAGGGACAGACTGATGACATTGACTGTTGACATTTTGGTCTTGGAGCCAGCCCAGCTCCCTCGCCTGGAGCCCAGCAGGGATGGAAGTGTCCTGAAGATGTAAAACCATACATGCCACTCCCTGACACAGCTTTCCTGACTTGGGACTGGTTTTACAACTTAGTAGGAAAGAGCAACTTGTATGAGTCCCTTTTAAAGTAAAGAGTTCTCCTTGCCTGTCCTGTCACCTGCTGGCAGGGGCCAAGGGGAGGGATAATGCCTGTGCCATTTGTAGCAGCCCCAGCACAGGCTATGGTTGTGTCGCACAAAATAAACGCAAAGCCCTGAGGAGTTGCTGTGGCAGCTCTGAAGGTTGTATCAGTTATTAGTGACAAACTGGTCTCACTTCTGCCCTGGGTCCTAGGTGCTGTCAGGATCAGATGAGAAGACCTGGTTCTGCCCCAGCAGGCAGGGCTCCTGCTCTGGAGAGGAGAAGCCAGTGGGGGCTGCAGAGGGCTGGGGGCTGTGGGCAAGGAGGAGAGCCAGGTGTGGGGGGTGCCAACCCCAATCCAGTGAGCCAGCATTCATAAAGGAGTGCCTTTTATTCATCTCTTTTTTGACACCTTCTTCTGTTCTAAGCTGATGGGGTGAAGTGAAGCTGAAGGGACCCTTGAAAAGGCCAGGTCATTGATGGACAGGAAAAAGGCTTGGCAGATGGTGAAGAGCTTTCATAAGAATCATGGGCTGCAGCAGGCTCCAGGGAACAGAATTGTTCCCCTGCTCAGGCTGTGTGTCTGTCTCTCTGATTATTTTGTGTATTTCATCTCTCCTGTCTGTCTTGCCCTTAATCTGGGCTTCTCCGTGCCAACAAAATGCTTAGCTCACTCCATTGTCTGAGAGACTAATTTGCACTGTAAATTTGATGCTTATCTTACATGACAGCTTACTGTGGGGTTTATTGCAGTTCTGAAGGCAAACTAACTGGAGATGGCTAGAAAGCTTTCAACACATCATCTGGAGTATAGAACAAATGTGACCCATTTCATCTTACAGCCAGGTTAGGATGTGGCCCCTTGTGCTTGAGGTCACAAGAGATTTCTCTTTCTCTTTTCAGATCTGTTCAAACCTGAGTTTATTTGGGATACTTATGGTACAGCTTCTGTTCTGTGTTGGAGCTGTGGGAATGCTTCTGGCACAGCCTCCCACCCTCCTAGGACCGGGTCCTCCATCCCTCCTCCCTGCTACCTGTGGATTTTTAAGGACCATGAGAGTGGCTGCAGACCAGGTGCAGGCAGCATGCAAGCTCTGGTGCTCCAGTGTGCTGCAGCTTCATTGTCTCTGCCTAGCTTAATCAGGAAGACCCTTTGTCCTTGTCTTTCTTCATTAGTATTTCCTGACACTTTCTCCAATACGTTTAGCTCTTTTAACATAGCCCCTCAATCTCATCTGCAGTTGCCTTGTTCTCTCTGATCCCTGGGCTATCCACCTGCAAGCATTCTCAGATCATCCATGAGATTTTCACACTAGTGTTGTTCAGATAGCTGGGCAGCCCCAGCAGCCCCAGATCAATTGAAATGTGGACAGAAGCCTAAATCATTCTACAGAAGGGTTCCAGGTAGCCTCAGACAGAAGTTTAATGTTTGGAGACCAGGCAAATTATTGATGCAGCTCTTGGTTCTGCAGCTGAGAACACCAGTAGCTGTTGAATGCCCAGAGCTTCTGCATTGCAGTCCTCTGATGGGACACTAAGGATCCCTGGAGAGGGGAACAGGAAGAGGAGACCTGCTCTCCTCTGAGGATGGTGTTCATTTGTAGGACCAGTCTGATTTTTGCTGAGCAGAGTCCTGCTTTACAGTCATATGAATTTCTGCATCCCTCTGTTCTTCCCACCCTCAGTTTGAAGACAAAACACAAAAATGGCTGTGTGAGATAAGCTGTGTGCAGCAGCTGGAGGGGCAGGCAACTGAACTGGGTATGGAGTCAACAGGGTCTCAGCAGCTTTGAGAGAGAGGTGAAGAAAAAGCCACTTCAATAAATTGTTGAGGAATAGGCAAGCAATACATTATATACCAGGTAGAACTGTAACTACTTATGCTGCACCAGAACCTCAGCACTCAAACTCCATTTTGCTGCCCTGGTTATCAAACAGGAATGTAACCTAAGGCTTACTCCAAGTAATCAGAGCTGGTGAACACCAGACTCCTCACAAGCAGTGTCCTGAGACCTGCCCAAGGGAGACCCCTGTACAGCCTGGGAGAAGCTCAAGGGAAAACCTATGACTCTGAGAAGACTCCAAAATCCACAGAATTTAAAAGAATCCAGTACAAAAATACATGGGAAAGGATCATCACATAGCCTAACTCAGCCTCATGCCTAGTCTAGGTTCGGCTACTGTTTGCAGCCTCCTCTGAAGAAGCCCCCTTCTCTTCCCTGGCTAGAAATGGAGCCAGAGGAATCAAATCACCTTACTTAAAGTTCTGTGTTAAGTGCCTAAAAGTTAGCAGTTTGAATGTGAAGACGTCTTAATATGTTTCCTAAGAGGCTGGGAAAATCCTCCTTTCCCACAGATGGCTTGGTGCAACCTGAGAGCTCCCAGCATCAGTAGCTGGCCTCCCATCCACCCCAGTGCTTGTAGCACAGGCAGTAGCTCCGATCGTGTGGCAAGGTCAGGCTGTCCCTTCAGCCATGTGCATCCAGCACCCTGGGGCAGCTGGTGCTTCCAAAGATAAAATCTGTGCCCTGCTGCTGCTGCTGTGTATTTTCTGTCAGATTTCTGGTTGGTTTGTTTAAAAAATAGAGGAAAGAAAAAAAAAAAAAAGGAGGAAAGCTTGTTTTTCAGCAGCACTTAGAGACCCAACTATGTTGCACGACACACAGACAACTGGAAGATGGTCTCTGCTCCGAAGGATTCACAGGATAGCTTGGCAGAAGTACACTGAATAGCAGATGTGGTAAAGACACGGTGTGAAGCAAGTCAGTAAGAGGAAGATGTTTGCTTAGACTGAGTAGGTCTGACATCTCCATCAACCAGGGCTTGCAGCGTGTGAAGGCCCCGCAACCTGATGAGCAGTTGGGCCAGCCTCACGGCACTCCCAAGGGCTTTGCTTGCTGGCAAAGGAAATCTGCTGCCTGCCTTAGTGTTGGTTCTAATCTGTGTGGAAATGAAAGTGGGTGGAGACATCGGAGTGGGGTTTCCAGGTAGAGTTTTCTGCTGCCTGGGATATTATTAAAAATTGAGGAAAGAAGCTGCTGCCAGGCTGGATAAACAACAGAGCTTTAAAGAGAGGAGGTTGGGGGAGCTGAGAGTGTGGGAGAGTGTGATGGGAGGGCTGGGATCTCAAAAGAGAAAGTGCATTCAGCTCCAGCTCTCTGCTACCTACTCTTAGCTATATCAACCTTGGCCACCTGCTTAGGTGAGCAGTCAGTCCGTTTGTGCAGCCCAGTCTGGGCGAGTGACTGAACTGGGATACCACAGCCAGAGTGTCTCCCTCTTTGGTCCCAGGGACACATGCCAGGGAAGTCCCTGTGCCCGTGATGGGGGTAAGGCTGTGCACAGGGCTGTGCAGCCAGACTGGCTCCTTCTTTGTGCCACTGCTCAGAGACTGGCTGGTGCTGTCGTGGCTCCTGCCCTGGACTCACTGCAGAGGCCTGAGCACCATGTTTTTCTGCAGGCTTTCAGAAAGCTTTTCTGTCCCTGTAATTTCCCTGCTTCTCAGGAAAGGGGGTGTGCATCTAGCAGGGGACTAAAGCCCTCCTGCTGCATCAGCATTGTGCATCCTCTCTTCTGAATAGGTAATGAGTTAGAAGGGCTACTGCTGCTCCAGGGATTCTGTATTCCCAGCTGCCGCTTGCTTTTTTTCCTGCCAGGATTGCTTTATTGTATTTTTGCAATTATTAGTAACTTATCTCGTGTTCGGAACTGGTAGTGAATGAGAAGTCAGAGTAGTACCCAAAATACCTCGCCCCACAAAAAGAGCAGCTCCTCCTTTGCTGCCTGCGCGCAGCACGGTTGGCTGACGCGAAGGGAGAGGGTAGCGTGGAGGCCAGCGGGAGAGCTGTCAGGTGTCAATCCCGTGAGTAGCAGCTCCGAGTCAACCCCTTCCCAAGAAGTGGCAAGCTGTGAATGTTACGTCTGCAGTGTTGTGGGCAGGTGCAATGGCAGCTTGGGTGGGTATAGCATGCTGGCCTTGATCCAGTTGGCACAGGTAAACCAGCAGTGACACAGCGGAGCAGCTTAAGCACCGTCTTAACACTATCAAAGACGGAGCTGAGATCTCTGGAGGTCTCGTGCAACCTGAGGTGACGTTTGTGTTGCTGTATCTTTCCTCCAGTTTGCTATCTGTCCTAGATCCATGACAGTTCTCACAGATAGGTCTGTGCTGTGCCTCAGTTCCTCATCTGACATCAGCACAGACCTGCCTCCAAACAGATGCTTCCGAGGACCTGCAGGCCACACAAACGTCAGCTGTTGCTGTCTGCAGTTCATGCCTCGTATGTTGGCATTAGTCTCAGTGATTTATGGGTGTTGGCCAACACACAGGGAGGGGAATTACATCCCTTGTTAGTGGGATTTGCTTTGCATTGCAGCACTGAGGCTCGCGAGTTAGAGGCTGTTACTGACCTGCCTTCTTCCCTTCTTGGTCACAAGGGCCATTCTGCTGCCACTCCCTACCCTCCCAAAGTCCTCTCCTGCCGTGCTGTAGGCCTTGTTCCCCCTTCAGGCACTAAGAGGTCTGGGGCTGCAAGGCACTACATGTACAGGAGTGTGCACCATGGTGCACAGCCCTCTTGTGCTGGAAGAGGTGTCCAGGGACAAAGAAGGTCTGCAGCATGGACACCTCTGACTTTCTCCCTCTCTCTCTCTCTCTCTCCCCGCAGATGCCAGCAAGGACCACCCGCAGCAGCAGGCAGGAGTGATCTGGAGAGTGACAGGCGGCCTGTTCAGTATCACCCGAGGAGCTGTGGGGGCCACACTGGGAGGAGTTGCCTGGGTGGGCAGCAAGAGCCTGGAGCTCACCAAAACAGCTGTGACCAGCGTCCCTGCTGCTGGTGTTGGACTGGTGAAGGGCAGCGTCTCGGCAGTGACCGGCGGCGTCGGAGCCGTGGGCAGCGCAGTCGCCAGCAAAGTCCCTTTCACTGCAAAGAAGAAGGACAAGGCTGACTAAACCCCATTGCAGCTCCCTTCCAAGAGATCAACCTGCCCCTACTCTCACCCTACACAGCACCTCTTTGAGTTGGAACCAGCCACTTCAGGGAGGGTCAAGCACCCAAGCAGACTCTGGCTGCAGCCTGCTCAGCACCGCCTGCCTGACTCAGAGCTCACAGAGCCACTGTCAATGCCTTTCACTCCAGGCACCTACTGGGATTCATCTCTGCTCCCAGGGTTTCAAAGGCACAGTTGTCTCTGTCTTGCAGTTTCCTTTCTCCCTTCTTGCTCTTGTAAGCACAGAGGGGTGGGAGGGAGTGTCAGGTTCCATCTGTCTGGAGGTGGGGGGAGTAACAGGGGAAGAATTGTGCCTGGCTTGAAGTGTGGTTTGTGTTGTCAAATTCAGCCTCAGCCAGGAAGACAACCTCTGAAACACCCCTTCCCTTGGCTCTGGAAGGTGTGTTTTGGGGGTCTGCCTGGGGGGAACCATAGAAGAAAGTCCCATTGACACAAAGGAGAGATACTGTGAAGAGGGGGAAGCCTCCCTCCTGCCCTGCACCTCTTACCTTTTCTTTGCAGTGCCCGTCCCACAAGCTGCTCCCAATCACTTACTCCCTGGCTGAATTGCACCCTTCAGAGAAGGAACCCTCAAGCTCAGCAGAGCATCTCCAGGGATGATGCCACACATGAGTATCAGATGTCACAGGCCATCAACTTCTGCACAGATTTTCTTGCTGAGAAGCAGGAGGAGAGAAAGCTGCTCTATGTTCCCATTTGGGGAAGGAGCTGACAGTGGCATCTGCCAGGCCTCTGTGATACCGCAGCATGGGGGGTGATGCTCCACAGAGACACAAACCAGGCCCTTGGGCTTGACCCTTCCAAGTCCTGGCAGCATCCCTATCTGCACCAGGGGCATTTTGACTCTAGGCCACACTCTCACTCCACAGACATCAGTAGTGACCATGAGCAAGCGTGTTCCCAAATGCCACCCAAGTTCTGCTGCAAGGGGGCAGGGGAGGCCCTCCCTGTGAGCCCAGGAGCAGTGGCCTGGCTGTGGGTGGGCTGCACCACATTGGAGAATGCTTCCCTAAGGGGCTGTGTGTTCTGCAGCAGCAGCCAGCCTTCACAGGGCACCAGCAACTCCTTCTCCACCTGCTGCTCCTAGGGCTCCAGCCCTGCTCCTCTGAATGACCGTGTTGCACTAAATAGCCCACCACACTCGTAGTGCTGCAGAAACCCAGACACTTGCATTCATCTGGGAGTCACAGCCATCCTTAGCCATGATGCTCAGGAGGCCATGTGACATCCCACACACACACACAGTCACACTCTACTCACTCCAGGATCCCCTGTAATTCATGGGATGAGGAAAGCCACAGGCTCCACCGTTAGCTCTGCTGCTCCTGGCTTTGGCAAGTGATTATCCTAGGTCATTAGGTGTTGGATGCATAGGCAAGTGAAGCAGTGCTTGTGCTGTAGTTTATAAATATGCATCAGTGTTAGCGTGTGTCTATGTATCAGTCCACAGACATGTCTTCAGCCAGGTAAACAAAACTGTGCCACCGCCAGGGAGGAGTTACGTAGTCATCTTTGGCACTTCAGCTTATAGGTTTTCCCTAGGATCCTGGTCAAAATAAAACTGATGTTTTAGAGGATGTTTCCCCCTCTGTTTCCCAAGAGCATAGCTTAACGAAACCAAAGGAATGTGAAAAATCCCTTTTCTCCCATCTATGTGGTTTGTTTACTCTCTGCCCTATCTTTTGGACATTGAAGCCAGCTTCCTTGAGCTGCATTTCCCACTGAAGGTTGTTGCACTTCCTGGTTGCTCTATTGTGCTTAGGACTCAGACATCAGGGAATATTTAGGTACATGTCCCTCACCCCACCACCATTTTTACTGAATGTTCTTGGGCTTGTGAAGCAGTTTCATTCTGACCTTTTTTAAACCACGTTTTGGGCCTGACTTCAGTTGCTGTGTCCCTGTGCAAGTCGTGCTGGTGTTAATCTCTCTCCATACCCTTTGCTGGGTCGTCCCTGCTCTTTGCAGTGGCAAAAAAATGCTGATCTCCACAGTATGTTATTCTTGATAGCATGAGAGTGGTTTAACCTACATCTTTGTTTCTTGAAGAGGAAACAGCATTTGGTATGTGTGTGCATTTCTCTGTCTCTTTTGTTCTCGTGAAGGCCAAGCTGACCCAGACGTGTTGATTTTGTCTCTAAAGGCAGTGGCTTCACAGAAGGATCAGGCCTTGATGTGTGCCTGCACTGTGCTGGGATGCTCATGGCAGTTGGCAAGGCCAGAAGAAGCCTTGTCTGTTGTTCCTTTGTCTTAACCACCCTGCAATGCAGGAGGGCAGTTTGCACTGCATGGGTCTCTGCTCACGGCCCTCCCTGAGCACTTCTCATTTATTTTTCCAGATCACAGACTGCTCCTGAAGCCAGCTCTTATCCCAAAAGCTGCTTGTGCATAACTAGCTGTGCTGTCACCAACCCTCTGAGATAGATGCAGTTTCTTACTGGTGGGGACAGAAGTTTTCTTCCTAACTGCCTCTCCTAGGCCTTAGGCAGGAGAAGATGGTACCTAAGGGGCTATACTTCACCTACTACCCCTGGGCAGGTGATGGGATACTCATCATGCTTTTAGCTAAGCTGTATCCCATACAGGCTCTTTCTGGTGGAGGAAATACATCCTTCCCAAGGCATTATCTGCAGGCACTGTGTGTGCAGAGGAGGCATGGAAAATGGGATGAAGGTGCACTATGGAAGACCATGCAGGTCCTGAGGGCCTCCTATATTTTATTTCTGCTCTTCTGTGCACCCTTGCAGTAAAAGGAGCTTTCCATTGGTCTGGAACTTCCATTTCTTTGAGGGGTGGCCTGGAGAAGGAGAGAAGAGGTGTGAAGAGAACTCACAGCCTAAATTGCTGTTCTTACAGCCCAGCTAATGGAGAACTCATGGACCATAAATAGCAAAAGAGAGCAAACTAGCAGGCAGGGGCACAAGATTAAATCTACTTCAAAACCAGGTCCTCACACCACTTAACAGGCATTCAGGAATACATAACTATGCAGGACTCAAAGGCCTCTGAAAGTATGTCTCTTGTTACCATGCTAGGCCTGCTCGGTTCATCCAGCTGACCCAGCCCCAGGCTGTTTTTCCGGTCACTCTCATTGCCAGAGTAGAAGGAAAACAGGGTCAGTGTTCCCCGTCTTAGAGCAAAGATACATCCTGACAGCTTTGTTTGCAGGTCAGTAGGAACTGGATCAGATGGGGTTGGGTCCTGATGGATGCCCCATTTTTCCTGCTCACCCACTACAGAGGCTCCAGCCAGCTCAGAGTCCACCTGGACCACTGGTGCAGCCCTTCTCCCACCACCCCTTTGTGGTAAGTGACACAAAAACTATATTGTGCATAAATCCCATTGCTACTAGATGGGGGGGTCTGCTACAAAGTGGGGAGGAAGGGGGCAGCACTGAGGTGGAGGGGAGGATTGAAGGGATTTAATTGAAGGAGGAGTACCAGTTTTCAGGAGACAGAAGGTGAGGAGGGTGAGTTGAGGTGAGGAATGGGAGAGCAAAAGGGGAGTTTGTTTCTTAGGACAGACTCTGAATCAGAGCACGGACAGATGGAGTTTGTCCAGGGAAGAACACAGAAAGGAAAGTGGATTAATATCTGTTTTGGTATGTGGTGGTGGTCCATGTCTGGCTGGTGCCCTGCTTTTGTAGTAGTGATGATTGCCAGCGAATGGTCCAAACGTCAGATCATCAGATCGGCTGCCTCCTTACCACCTCCTCCCTTCCCAGTTCTACCCCAGGCTTTTGTCATTAACTCTTCATGGTAGGGCTGGTTGTCCCTGTGGTAGAGGTGGGATGTGGCCCTACACATGCAGCCCTGTGCCCTGCATGGCTGGATGTTCCCCATGCTCATGGGACACAGCCCAGCTGAGAGGAGAGTCCACAGGCACGCCCTCCCTTTTCCCTTTGCTCATCTCATTATTCTTCACTTTCTTGTTCATCCCCCCCAAACTTTCTGTATTGCCCTGGAGAGACTCTCCAAAGTCTCACTGAGACCTTTGTTAAACAACCACACTCATTGGCTGGGGGGGCAGAGAGGGTGACTGCCCCCACAGCTCCCCTGGCTGGGAGAGAAGTGCATGTCTTCCATCCCTCTCTGTCCCCTTGTGTTTTGCGTGTGGAAAATCTTAACCCACTTCTTGTCCTCTGGTTCCCTTCTCAGCCCTGTGGGCGGGTCATTTCTGTGTCTCCATTGCAAAGTCCCCCTTGTACAAACAGCAGTGTGAGTGGGAATGTAGAGACGGCTAGAGAGAGCCACAGAGCCACTGGGACAGATGCCACGGCCTGACTCTGCTTCTCTAGGAGCTGAGGTGCCCTTTGGGAACTCAAAACTGTCACTGTGGCCACGCGGTCCCTTGTACGGTGCTGGGCTCCAGAGAACACTTTTGTTTTTTATCATTTCATTGTCTGTAATTGGTTTCCTACTGAATTTGTTTGCTTGGTTTGTTTTGCAGTGTGTTTCTGGGAATATTCTGCATCTCTGTATTTTAATTACAGTAAAATTTGAGGATAAAAACCTTGGTTTTGCTGGCTCTTGTTTCCAGTGGGGAGAAACAAGGAGAGGAAGCGCAGCTGAAGGAGGATTTTAGAGATTCCTTGGGAAATAAGATCTCTCCCCTAAGGGCTCTACATGAGGCACCAAGCAGGGCTGAAACTGTCCCTGCTTGAACTAGGACATGGCTTTCAACTATGATTCAAAAGCCATTTTGCTGCAGGCACATTTCCTGATCAGAATGGTAAGAGTGGTTTAGTGGTTTAGATAAGACTTCTAAATTCAGTTTCTTGTGTTGGTTTAAAGGCCATTGTGTATGAGAACCTTCAGGTGAGAGACTTGGCCTAGTCCGTGAAAGTGGGATCTCATCAGCCAAAAACAGGAAACTTTCCCTCTACAGCACCTGTTTCTTCATGCAGGTTTGATTGGCTGCTTTTCCCAGCTGAGGAAGTGAGGGAAAACCTGGTTCCCCCCACAGCAGCCCAGCTTCTCTGCAGGACAGGGTGGTTTGACATCCCTCCCCAGAGCTGCAGTGGAGCCCTATGGGGCAGCCAGACCCTTTTCTCCCTGGCTAGCAGGCAGTGCAGGTGCTGGGGAGGGCACAGCCAGCCACCCTGGCTACCTCACCTGCTCTGCAGGCACCCGCTAGGGCAGAGCCACCCGATGCTCCCGTGGACACACAGGGAGGATTGCAGCCCAATGGCTGGGCTGTGTGATACCAGTCTCCAGACATGCTGTTCCTTTCCCTGGGACAAGGCCAGGAGCCAACAGCTCAGCATTTGTTAAGTGCTGACAAAAGGATTAATTTAGTAACTAATAACAGGGCAATCAAGCCATTGATTTGGTTGGCATTTTGCTGCCAGCTGCTCGGTAAGACCAGTGAGCTGATGAGGCTGGCTATGGCCACCTCTGCCACCTGCCCCACTCCTCTGTCCTTGCCTGCAGACATGGCTGGGGCAGTGTGGCTTGGGAAGCACGGAGCTGGTGGCAGGAGCAGGTTTGGCAGTGGAAGGGACAGGCTCAGGATGCTCATTGCTCCTGCACCTGAATGAAGGTGCCCGGGGTGCAGGTTTCTCCCAGAAGCTGCCCCTGTGCCTGCTGTGGAGAGGCAGCTGGAGGAAGTGCCTGCCCTACAGCACATGCGTGCTGTCATCCTATTCTTCCTCACAGGGCTGGAGCCTGCCATGTCACTTGGCAGACAGCAAAGCTGAATTACAGATGCTCCAGCTGCAATCCCTGAGGAACAGCCATCAGATGTATCACCCCAATCACCTTTTCTGCAGCCCAGCTGGAGCAGGTTTGCCATGTTAAGCCGGTTTGCAAAACACCACTAACAAGCTGTCTCTCCAGAGGTCTTTAAAGGCAGAAAAAGATGCTGAAAAATCACATTTAGTTACAGCTTTCCCCTGCCTCACCCAGGTGGTGGGAGTGCAGGCAGTGTGTCCCAGCTCCCTGTAAGTAACTGCAGCACCCAGTCTCATCCTCTTCCAAGTATGAGCTTAGGCTGGAAGCTGGTGAGCAGCAGAGCTTGGAAGAGATCTTTGGAGGGCAGCCCTGGGCTGTGAGCAGCTCAAACACACCTGTGTGTGTTACTGTAAAGGTTACGGAACACTGGAACAGGTTGCCCAAAGAGATTGTGGAGTCTCCTTCCCTGGAGACTTTCAAGACCCATCTGGATGCATTTCTGTGTGACGTTCCCTAGATTCTGTGGTGGTCCTGCTCTGGCAGGGGGTTGGACTCGAGGATCTCCAGAACTCCTGCCATTCTGTGATTTTGTGCCAGGAGCGAATCTAGTGCTGGGAGTGTGCAGCTATGGGTGAATGTGACCAGCTGTGGTCTCATCTCTCTGTGGATCCATGTCCTGCTTGGCTCCAGGAGCCATAGAGCTGGGAGACTGCTGGGGTGTTGCTGTCCTCTGTCCCCTGGGGATGGGCCCCAGTGACTTCCCATCTGCAGCTGCCTGTGGTCTGCGGGACACGCCTCGAGGGCTGGGCTGTTTGGGAGGACTCTGTCCCAGCTGGTTAGCAGTTCCAGCAGGCAGAGATCAAACAGGCAAAGTCCTGGGTCAGGCTCTCAGCACTCTCCTGTGGTGCAGCGTTTCTCCTGCCCCGTGGCCTGGCTTCTCCATCCAGCTGCTCTGCCCCTGAGCCCGCAGGCCCTGCCTGGCCCTGCCTCTGCAGGCAGCCCACAAAGAAGAACAACTTGTGCCGTGCCAGGGCTGCCTTCTTGCTTGCTCTTTTTCACTCTGGCAGTTTTATGACCTGAGCTAGAGCACTTTTCTCTGGCCCCCCAGCACCAAATGGAGGGCGGGTAAGGAGGGGCAGCCGGATGGGGCTGGGCTGACCGTGCCAGTGCCATGAGCCAGGTGTTTCACCGACTCGTGTCCCCATGCAGGCCAACAAGATCTGGGGTCTGTAAATAACCAACAGGTTCTCACTTTCGGCTTAACTACTTGGATTTCAACATGCTGGTGGTGCAAACATGCACATGCCCAAGGAGGCGACCGCAGTTCCCTGCTGCCCTGGGGGCTGTGGTGTGGTTCCTCCAGCCTCACCCCCACCCGCTCCCAGCCTCGCAGGAGCCGGGCAGACCAAGAGACATTGATCTTTCTCTGTTGGTGCATCCACCCCAGTTCAGTCACTGAGGTCTTTCTGTTGAAGTTCACCCTCAGGTCAGTTTTATTGCACTTTTATTTACAGAAAACACAGAAATAAAGCATTAAATGTGTTGGGCTTTTACCAAACCACCCAATCACTTTTTTTCCCTTTTTGTTTCATGTGGGGGTTTTGGCACAAAGAAATATCACAGATGTTACCAAACAACCATGTTTGTGGATGTAGTGTTGGTGGATATGATTTAGGGGAGAACTTTGTAGAGTAGAGATGATGGTTGGACTCGGTGATCCCAAGGGTCTTTTCCAACCTGAATGGTTCTGTGATTCTATGTTCTGTGTACGAGCAGCTGATCAACTGCCCAGCCCAGTAACAGGACTTAAACAGACATGCCACACCGAGATCGAAAATGAGGAGGTTGTTCCACATTCAGCTTCCAGTCTAACCTGCTCATCAGGGGCAAAGGGGGCTTATTCTGGAGGGGATGACACCATTCATAAATTATATTTATATTTACCTCTTACATTGTAAAAGTAAACAGTGCAAAAGTACAGTACCCCAGGTACCCTTCAGTTTGGAAATCTTGAAGGTTGCTTTATACATTTTGTGTTTTGTAAACATTGTTGGATGGGGCTGGGCTGACCGTGCCAGTGCCATGAGCCAGGTGTTTCACCGACTCGTGTCCCCATGCAGGCCAACAAGATCTGGGGTCTGTAAATAACCAACAGGTTCTCACTTTCGGCTTAACTACTTGGATTTCAACATGCTGGTGGTGCAAACATGCACATGCCCAAGGAGGCGACCGCAGTTCCCTGCTGCCCTGGGGGCTGTGGTGTGGTTCCTCCAGCCTCACCCCCACCCGCTCCCAGCCTCGCAGGAGCCGGGCAGACCAAGAGACATTGATCTTTCTCTGTTGGTGCATCCACCCCAGTTCAGTCACTGAGGTCTTTCTGTTGAAGTTCACCCTCAGGTCAGTTTTATTGCACTTTTATTTACAGAAAACACAGAAATAAAGCATTAAATGTGTTGGGCTTTTACCAAACCACCCAATCACTTTTTTTCCCTTTTTGTTTCATGTGGGGGTTTTGGCACAAAGAAATATCACAGATGTTACCAAACAACCATGTTTGTGGATGTAGTGTTGGTGGATATGATTTAGGGGAGAACTTTGTAGAGTAGAGATGATGGTTGGACTCGGTGATCCCAAGGGTCTTTTCCAACCTGAATGGTTCTGTGATTCTATGTTCTGTGTACGAGCAGCTGATCAACTGCCCAGCCCAGTAACAGGACTTAAACAGACATGCCACACCGAGATCGAAAATGAGGAGGTTGTTCCACATTCAGCTTCCAGTCTAACCTGCTCATCAGGGGCAAAGGGGGCTTATTCTGGAGGGGATGACACCATTCATAAATTATATTTATATTTACCTCTTACATTGTAAAAGTAAACAGTGCAAAAGTACAGTACCCCAGGTACCCTTCAGTTTGGAAATCTTGAAGGTTGCTTTATACATTTTGTGTTTTGTAAACATTGTTACCCATCCACAGTTCTAGCTCTTGCCTGGAGAGACCCAACTCCTCTTGTGTCCGAAACGTGTTGAGGGGCAGCAGTCGCTTCCCCTGGACTCTGTTGAGATTCCTGCTCAAGGTTTAGTGCAAATTTTGGAGAGAAAAAGACAAGAGAGAGAAAGAGGGGGGGAAACAAAATGAAATAAAATAAAATAAGGCAACAGTTAGAAACAGTCCATATCAAAACTGCCCCCCTGCCCCGGGGCTCCCTTAGGAGAAGGGCAGGAAGTCTCTCTCCTCCACCAGGCTGATGGAGAGGTTCTTTAGCTCCTCCTCAGAGCCAGCAGCTTTGTAGCCAAGCTGGGCCAGCACCTGCTGGCAGGCGTGCTGGGTGAACGCCACGATCTCGTAGGACAGCCGGAACCGCCACTTCTCCGCCGTCGCCGCCGAGTTGCGCACGGTCCCGTACTTGTGTTTGGAGGAGGACCTGTCTCCTCGGGTGTTGTTCTGTATCCAGCGCTCCACATTGCTGTCCATAGGGATGCCCAAGAAATCATAGATCTCCTCGGTCTTTTTCATGGGGTTCCTGGCCAAGTCTTCATACCGCACCAGCATGTACTTGCCCTTGAGCCATGGTGGCCGGTTGAGGCCAGTGGACACAGAATTCCAGAAGTCCTCACACACCGTGGTGAGCTGGGTCACATCCAGGTTGTATGGCTTCCTGCCAGTGCCATCCCAGATCCTCCAGAGGCGGTAGGTGTCCCGGAAGGTCTCGCTCCGGGATGCCAGGATCCCCCGGGGGTCCCTCACCAGCTGGATGACCTTCAAGTTCAGCCGTGGGTCCTCCACCAGGGCCCGGAGGTCACTGACCTCGGGCACCCGCACGGTTTTGATGGCCACGTGCCCATGCTCTCTGCAGGACTCGGTGGCCAGTGTCAGGTTCAAGGTCCCGCACTTCTTCACACAGTCTCCCTCCTCCAGGTGGAGATCGACAGCTCCCAGGGACTCACAAACAGGGGGTGAGCACAGGGCCTTGCTGGCTCCTCTGCGGAAGAGGCGGTCAGTGGTGTGGTTGACAGGCTGGGGTTTGATGTAGTTCTCCAAGAAGTACAGGTCACAGTCATACAGGCTCCTCAGCAGGTCTCGGCTGGGGCCCAGCATGACCCGCCCGGCCCTCCTACTCCTG